TCTGCACGCGGCTCTCCTTTGGCTCGGCGCCATCTTGGGCTGGCATTCCAAGATCTTTTTTCTCAGCCGCTTCTTTGACCGCCTGAACGGCCACATGTAGCTGGGCCTTCAAACTTAAACCCTCATTCATTAAGTCAGTCACAGTTTGGAAAGCTGCACTCACTTTTCCCCCCTTGTTGTCCCGTAGGGCCACTCTTTCTTTCACGGGGCGCTCCTCCGTCTCCGGGTCTTCACGGAGCTCGGACGGACGCCCGCGATCCCTCAATCTCGGCACCATCATGCCAGGGGAAAACCAGTCGACCTGCGCCGGTTCTTTAATTTCTTGGGCGCATCTCGGGCAACGGGCACACTTCCGAGATAGATCCGGGCTCACCACGCCCGCCGGGTCGACTTTGGCGAGGGACACGGTATCGAGGGGCTTGAACAAGACCCGCTCATCGCCCATGATACACCCGAACGCCGCGGGGTGAAGATACACCTCTCCCCCTCCAAGGGCTTCGTCCTCGGAAGTTCCCTCTTCTTTCCTCAGCGAAAAGCGTCCGCTGACATACCTTTTGCCTGCTCCGCCCGCCTGGTGGTAAACAATATGCATCTCCAATTCAGCGACGCTTGCCATGCCGCACTTCCCACTTCTCCAAGGACAACTCTTAACTAATTCCAGTTCTAGCGAGCCCTCTCCTGATCCCATCCTCGTCGCCATGTGCGGGCCGGGAGCGACCCGAGCCCTTTTTCGCGCTGCACGCGGGCTGTGGCCAGCAGCCCGGGCACGCCGGGTTGGAGAGGGAAGGCCGTCGAGCTGGAATTAGGCACAGACACGTATCGGTAGTTTTAAAGATTGTTTACTTACACCGAGATGGCAGTGGTGTAAGTAAACAATCAAGTCAGATTTGTGTGAATATGGTATTTAGTATTACTAAATACAGACATCACCTTTTTTACACAACAAAAACCCCTGTCCTCCAGCAAGGATACCTTGTGCATATAATCCTCAATTTTAGCAGATCTGATAACAGTTACATTGTAACAAAGAAAACCCTATATTGACATCTCACTAATCGACTGAGCAACATTAAACAAAAGGTGACTTCCCTTTGATCTGAGGCCAGAACTCCCAAAAGCCATCATTTCAGATTTTACATACATACCACGATTTCCATTTCTCACAGATCTGCATGAATTTGACACCACCAGAGGTTAACCTTTCTACTTAGTGCAGGTGCATACCTGAAAACAATTTTCATGCTTGGTTGTTCAGAATTAACATCCGATTTCATTTTTAGTATACTTTACCATTGCTCTCTGTCGATGTTCTTCTGGAAGAAATAATACTTTTAATTATATTATACTACATGCTGAAAATGTTTATCCTTCTCCTCATGGATCCCTGGGGACACAGCACAGGTGTAACAGTTAATGCTTATACCCTGGCAGGGTGAGGGCTGCCTAGCCCCCGTCCCCTTATCAGCTTCATGCCTCCCACTCCAGTGGAGATGCTTCTGCTATGGACAGAAGTACTGACACAGCCAACAGCCGGGGTCTCCCTTAGACAGGAACCTCCTTACAGCCTACAGTAGCTGGCCGATCACCCAGTGGTGCCGCTTCCCATGGCCTCTGGAAGATCAGAACAATGAATCAGGAGGCAACAAAGGCAGCGGTAAGGGGGCTGCATTAATCTCTTGGCTGCACACTGTGCTGACACCCCCTTCTCCCACCTTGCAACAAGCAGCACCTTCCACAGACAGGACCTGAGACTAACATAGGGACCAGGGCTACCAGAATGCAACCCCCACAAATCCTCATCTGCCCTACTGGCTGCAAGCAACTCCATCTCCACTCCCTCCAGCCAAAGCCTCAAACCTGGCCTAGGTGGCCTGCCCATCCCCAAGTGCTGCTAATTCCCATTGCTGGCAGCAAGGGACAACAATGGATGCAGCAGCACTTCATTTAGAGTGGTGACCAGAACCCTAGTTACCCACAGCTAGCCACAGTATTGGGAGATAGTCCCCTTTTAGATTGAATCTCATGAGATCGAGATCAACCTTAGCTAGATCTTTAAGATGCTCTGCCCTACCACCAAAGATTCTAGCACATACACAATGTCAACTGCGTTATGTCATTCTATGGAAAATGCACTTCTTAATTTGTTCTTCTTCCATTCCAGTAATATTTCACTACCAGGAAAGCCATTAAAATTGAATTGGAGATAAAAATAACAGTTGCTGGGTTCAGCTATTATTTTCATTGCTAATCTCATTTAAATATGAAATGAAACAGCAAAGGTGGATGTCAAAAAAATGAAAGCCTAGATTTGACACTATTCAGCCTTCCTCAGTGCCTGTTTCACTTTCATACAAGGCAGGCAAAATCATGGTTCAGTATATCTGCAGCTTCACAGAAAACCTGGTATCCTAACATCTCAATAGAAGTCACTGAAGACCCTGAAACATGGCAGCAACTCCTGATAGAGGAGAGTCTACATTTTTAAAGAATCCTCTCATACTATTTATATGACACTTCAGTTATTTAAGTGTTGCTACCTACTCAATACAGCAGCTAGAAAAATAACATTGGTTATAACCTGGATTTAGAAACTACTTGATGATAGCTACAAAAACAGTTTTGTTCAGTCTGATAACACCACCAATGAACAGTGCTTCTTGTCTAAACAATTCAACCATTCGTTATAGTGATTATCCAAACTGGGCCAACAAGACAAAATTCACGGGCATTTGATCCCTCCAACCAAAATGGAGGTCAAATCAATGACAGCTGCTTCTTCCAGGTTATCAGTTAGTTAATCTTGATATTGGACCAAAATGGTACCAGAATCTTACAATAAGAGAAAACTATATGTCTCCATCACAAATGTAGACACAAACTTCCATTCCATTAGGGAGCTCCTCTAGCTATACCTTGTTACAGCGTCTTACCAGGGATGCTGCGTTGCCTCATCAGATACACTAAGCTCACTGGCTAAGTAGACTCAAGGCCGAAAGGAAATTTACAGTGCTGTTTACAGCTTATTTAATCCACCCATCATCTTCAAACGATTGTCCGTCTCAGGATACAGCTCCAAACAACAGTAGAACCACCAGGGCTAAAGCCTCACTAAATACCTCACACAGTCACAAAGTACATTTGCTTTAGCTTCTTTGTTAATGTTTTGAATTATCAAAACAGAACATTTTATTTAATATTATAAAATATGCATAAGAAGCAAGTATGTAATTGAAGCTAATAAAAAGCAAGCATTTTACACCCCGAGTTAGGCTTGTTCATATAGAACAGACACCATTGCATGATCTTTCAGACCGGTTCATTTTGAATCCTTCTATTGTTTTCTGTTCCAACAAGCCATTACTCAAACTATCATTTTTGCTTCTCTGTAAAAATTTCAATTATTAACATACATCCCTTCTAACAGAACATTCCCTGCCTAATTAGAGGCTGACTTTTGTCACTGAAACCCAACAAATTATTTCATATATTCATACAATCTGAAAATATTTATAGTGTCACTATCTGTACAACTCTAAACGATTGCATAATAAATCCTGCAGTAGCGTCATTACTAATATTTTGTATGCAAAATCTACATGCAACGTTTAATAATAGTACAATACCATTAATGAAAAACAGATTGGTCTAAACAATCAGATTCTCAGTGTAAATAAATGGAACTGACAAAACATTACTTTATGATATGCTATCCTCCCCTTTAAAAGCATTTTCATTCACTAATTCAGGTGTTGCCAGCCTGCAGCATGTGCGCCACAAGTGACATAAGCAATCAGGACTCATAGTAGAGATGATATATTTTATTAGACCAACAAGTTTTGCAAAAAAAATTCTTTTAATTGCAAGCTTTTGGGCACAAACACCCTTCATCAGGCATTGGAGAAAAGTTTTCCTGGATAGAAATGAAAGTGCAAAATACATAGAATTTCACAGAGGAGTCAACAGATGGAAAACTCCAATTTTGTTAGTCTAATAAAAGATATCATCTCTACTACAAGTCCTGATTGCCTTTTCCTTTAGACCAATACGACTACAACCTGGATACCTGACAAGCTACATAAACAACTTCTTTGTGTGGCACACGGCAGATTAGGGAGGGGACAGGCAACATAGTCATAGATTAGGCATCAAGGAAAAACTCCGAGCAGTGGATCAAGCAGGAAACAGAGGGCAGAAAAAAGGAGCAAAAAGCAAAGCATCAGATTGGGCAGGGTAAGGGAATCCGAGGAGCCCTCAGAAACGTGCAGGGCTAATTTGTGGCAGACCTGCCAAAAAGGTTGGTCCTCACTGCTCTAATTTATAAAAGCCAGCCATGTATTTAGTGCAGTCTACCGTATATATGAAGAATGACGTAAGAAGCCTCCGGCCAAAAGAACTGAAATCCTGAAAAGCTAGCTATAAGTGATGCAATTAAAAATAATTAAACTGAAAGCATGATACTTGAGATATAGATAAGCTACTAAAAAAACCCCGTTTTTGATTCATTAAAAATGTAAATTAGAACAGATAAGGTTGAACAAATCATTCAGTGGAACCAAAGAAAAGTATTTGGAGAAAACAGGATCTGTGCAGAGTTTTGAAACCAACTTTAATTACAGGGTTGAACACGCAGACAATTTAGATTGAAACCCAGGTATGGAAATATCTGAAAAGTGTTAAAAACTCCAAAAGCTAAGTGTGTTTTACCACTGTAACAGAAAAATAGCTCCACGTTGAACAGAAAACCACAGCAGAGGTTATACATAAGACATATCAATAAATTTGTTGGTTAAAATAATACTTTACTTTTTAAAAATGTCCATGTAAGGTACACAATCCATTTCTGTCTTGATCTGTGTAAACAGTTTTAATGTTTCCTAGAATTGCACGGGCCTACACACTTTAGTCATGTGAAACTTACCATTGAAGGCATTAATAATAGCAAAGTGTTGAGTTTGGGACCTATAACAGCAGATTTTAAAGTCCATACGATCACTCAAGCATATCAGATTTTTAAAATGTTTGAGGTTGCAGTCAGTAGTCTGCTGGTTGAAGCTCTTTTCAGTTAGCATTCAAAATGGAAGAGATGTGCTGCCTTTGAAATAAAGAGTCTCCTTTTAAAAATTATTTACATGCATTTAAAAGTAAAAATAAACTTACTCTTACATGGATGCCCTATTACTTTAGATTTGGCAGTTTCCTTTTCTTATCTCCTTCCATGGTAGCCTAGATTCTCCCCCTCCCCACCATTGAAGGGACCCCCCCACCCCACAAAAAGAGGAAAATTCTTATCATATTATTCCACCTCCACAGATTGCAGTTCAAAGACCCCACACATTTTGTCCCTGCTTCCAGCACATTAAGCAAACTCTCTCTGGCTAATAAGATTCTGTTTTCAAGGAGTTCCCTCCATCACTCATGTTTGGCAGGATTTTGAAAGCTGATTTG